TCACTTTGCCCGGCAGGGCCAACCTTGAAGGTAAGGCTGATGCTTTCTGGTTTTGAATTCCTAATGCAGAGCACATAGTAGAGGCTCATTAAATGTTTATCAAATTCAATTTTTAAAAATTGTGTAAAGTATGCATAACAAAAAATCTACCATTTTAACCAATTTTGAATGTTCAGTGGCATTTAGTCCACTTGTTGCTGTACAACCATCACCACCATCCCTCTTCAGAACTTTTTCATCTTGCAAAACTGAAACTCCATCCCCATTAAACACTAACTCCCCATTCTCCCCTCCCCATCGAGCCCCTGGCGACTACCATTCTGCTTCCTGTCTATGAATTTGACTACTCAAACGATGGAATCCTAGAATATTTGTCCTTCTGTGATTGGCTTATTTTACTTAGCGTGTCTTCAAGCTTCATCCATGTTGTAGCATGTGTCAGAATTTCCCTTCTTTTTTAAGTGAATTCTGTTTAAAAATCTTCAAAATTGGGCTTCCCTGGTGGCGCAGTGGTTGAGAGTCCACCTGCCGATGCAGGGGACACGGGTTCGTGCCCCGGTCCGGGAAGATCCCACATGCCGCGGAGCAACTAAGCCCGTGCGCCACAACTACTGAGCCTGCGCTCTTGAGCCTGTGAGCCACAACGACTGAGCCCATGTGCCACAACTACTGAAGCCCGCGCGCCTAGAGCCCGTGCTCCACAACAAGAGAAGCCACCGCAGTGAGAAGCCCACACACCGCAACAAAGAGTAGCCCGCCCTCGCCGCAACTAGAGAAAGCCCACACGCAGCAACGAAGACCCAATACAGCCAAAAAAAAAAAAAAAAAAAAATACTGCATCTGCCAGTCATGGCTGGGCTTGGGGGTTAATGAAAGACGTTGCTTCCGCATGGCTCACGCGCTACACTGTGGGCTCCTCCAGGGCAAGCCACTCTGCTCCTTCGTTTTTGTCACCAGCACCCAACCCACTGCCCAGCTCATGATTCCAACCTGAGTTTGCTGATGCCCCACCCCCCAGTGGCTTTCCGTTGGCCAGTTCCAGCCAACAGCGAGGCCCCGTCAAGAACTCAGAGGGCAGGAGGAGAATGAGGTGAAGGTTTATTCCCCAACTTCCTCCCTGTGAAATCTGCTTGGCCTGACTGACCCTTCCACTGAAGGTCCCTGCTTATTTTAAGGTGGCCTTCTCTACTCACCTCTGGACCCAGGGTGGTAAAAAAAAAAAAAAAAAAACCTCCACTGCTAACAGCTTCTGCTTCCTGTGCTATCCCTGTGGTTCCCCAGCACGCACATCTTTGTGGACGGTCCCTTTGTATGTAAATACTCGTCAAAACTATCCCAACTGCTTCCCGTTGAGACTCTGCCTGACCCAGTACTGTGGAGTCAGGGCCATTCCAAGCAGGGCAAGTACTGCGCCCCCCTCTCCTGCAGCCCCCTCCGAGTTAGCTCTTCTCATCTCAGGCTGTAGTGGAAGGAAACCAAGAAGGTGAGAGAAATCTGGATGTCACGAGAGGCCCTGATGAGCTCTTTGGGTTGTATCCCTGGGCTTGGGTGTGTGTGGGATGGAGGAGAAAAAGGAAGCACAGGGAAGTCGCATTTGCTACTTGTCTGTGGGTGCACACGCCCCATCCCTCACGGCCTCCATGTTTATTGACCATCATTAAAGTGGAGCCTGACTTCAGGAGTCTCTCTCTGTTCCAGGTGGCTCAGGGGCCTGCAGCCTGTCTGGAACATCAGCGTATGACAGCCACCGTATTCTCCTCTTCAAGAACCTGCCTGAGCCGCCTTCCCAAAGATGCTGCTCCCCAGCCCCCACTGAGGGGCCAAGGGCACAAGACCCTCCCTTGGCCACAGCTGATTGGATAAGGGATGGACACGTGACCCAACTGGACCAATCAGGTGCTCTCCCAGGGCCTTGGGACACCTTGGCGGTTCTAGGCAGTTTTTGTTGGCTGCTTGAAAGCCTTGTGCCAGGCACAGCGTGAGCCCAGAGGAGAAGGAAGTGAACAGACCAGGAGGGCCACCTGAGGCAGCCATTTTCCACTGTGTGCACAGAGCAACAGAAAAAGCTGAGAGAGAAGAGAGAAGCCGTCCAGGAGGAAAGCAGAGGTCAGAGACCTCAGAGCAGCAGAGATAGAGAAAGGAGAGGATGGAGCTGCCCAGGTTCCTGCTGGCTCCCCAGTGGCCGGTTCCTGCCCCCAGAGACCGGCTGCACTTCCTGTCCCTGGATCTTGGAGATAGCCTCATATTCTTCCCATAAATTCTCCCTTTTCACTGAAGCTTGTGCAAGTGGGCTTGTATTTTGTGCCGCTAGACCATCCCTGCCCCAGGCACACCACGTGATACAATTAGCTCCCAGTCCCGATGGGGCGATTTATCCTTTTTGCAGACTCTCTGCCATAAATTTTAAATCTCCACCTGGCTTCCCCTTGCCAACCAGTGAGTGTCCTTCTGGGTTAACTTTCGCTCTCGCGGGCCGCCAATGAGCTCGTGTCACCAGATGCAATGGCCTTTCCAGGCCCCTTGCCCTCCTGTCCTCTCGCCGCCCCACCTGGCTGTCCTCTCCTTCCTCCCTCACACTCTCCCACCGTGGCTCCTCTGACACCCCTTTCTCCCACGTCTCTTCTCCTCCTGCCCTGCATTTAGCTCTCTCGACAGTCCCCTTCCTCACCGTGGTTTCCATCATCACCTGTCTCCAGACACAAGTTTGCTCCTTGATCCGGCCCCCTCAGGTCCCCGTTCCCATGCAGCTGCTAGAAGCATCTATGTGGGCACCCCACTGACCCCTCAAACTTTGTGTGCTCCAAAGTGGTCTCAACAGTTCCCCTCCCAAGCCTGATCTTCCTCTTGTGTTCCCTAGTTTGGTTAACCAGGCGGAAAGTCTCTGCCCTTCATCCGTGACTCTCAGAGCTGGGAAGTTTGGGCAGGGGATTTTGGCCAGGCTCCTCCGTCCTATGCCAAGAAATACCCACCGTAGACCTCACTTAAATCGTGACTCCAATTTCTTTGACTTTCTCCTTGCTGCTCGCATTAGGATGAGTCACATGAGCTCTTGGGCGCTAAGGGGCTCCCTGTCCCTCACACTGAGACCCACTGGTCCAGCCTGCGGACCCTGGAGGAGGGAAGCCTCACATGGTCCGTGTATTATCCACGTGGAGGGTGAGGGCTGTCAGCTCCTCAGAGAGGTTGTTCTGTAGGCCTCTGCACTCCCAGAAGGGTTCCATTCCCTTATGGGCATCAGTTAGAGACCCTCCATTCAGAGACCTAGGAGAGCAAGGGGAGCATGAGTCTATCAGCCCACGGCTACACAGAGGGTAGGCTGCGAGGATCAGGAAGGCCCCGCCCAGACTCAGTCAGTTCTGAGCTCAGCACAGGCGCCGAGCATCACTGTGGTCCGAGATCTCAGGTGGCAACTGACAAGACCACATCACCCTCACTGCACTGCCAAAGGGACCCCAATCCCCACCATCCACAACATAAGGACCCGTTCAGGAGGAAGTCTGTTTTCTGGGGGTGTAACAGTCAGGGAAATGCTGGCTGCTGCAACAGATACACCCCCAAGGTGCAATGGCTTACCACAACGGAAGATTATCACTGAAATAAAGTCCAAAATGGGTATTCCCGAAGGAAAGGAGGCTCTCCTCTCCAGGAGTGATTCAGGGACCCAGGCTCCTTCCATCTTGTAGCTCTGCTGGGCTCATCTGTACCGAGGTGTGGAAGGGGAAAGAGCACACGGGCGATTTCTACGGGCCAGGTCTGGATGTGGCGTCCATCTTTTCTGCTCACCTGCCATTGGCCAGAGCAAAGTCACGTGGCCACATCTGGGCCACGTAGTCCAGCTAAAGCCGTTTCGGAAATCACCTAGCTCATTTCTGTCCCAGGGGCTAACACATCGACCACCTCTGAGGAAGTCCCCCAGATCAAAGAGGTGGCCCTAAACTTGAGGTTACGACGTCCTGCTTCAGCCCAATCACCTGACTTGTCTCTCAACCCCCGCTACACACAGGCCCTTGCATGGAGAGCCTCGGAGGGTCTACCTGGGCCTGCTGTTCTGAGGATGCAACCGCTTGCCTTTCAGCGGGGGCCCGTCACCCCAGTCCTGTGCTGCTGTGTCCTATAGCTGGGGGGGTGACTTGAGGAGGCAGCCACTGGAATACGGCTCTTACACTCACAAGAAGAAGAGACTCATCTGTAAAAAGAGGTAATGGATCAGAAGATGGAACGACTGTACTGTCCAACTCAGTAGCCATTAGTCACGTGGGGCTATTTAAATTTAAACTGATTAAAATTAAATAGATTAAAAAATGTAGCTCCTCAGTCACACCGGCCACATTTCAAGTGCTTAA